AACAGTACAGTTATTGTTCTGGTAACAACACAAAGTCTAACAGCTCCAGAGTGTACATTAAAAGCCAAGTGTCGTAATATTAGCAGCGCCTGTCAGTGACATTTACTTACAAGTGATTCTATAAAATAGAAAACCAAATAAAATGTTTTCTCCTCCTTGGTTTAAGATGCAGTCAGTGTGCTCGAAGGTTGTCACTTGACGGCACGTCTCCAAAAAGCAAATCTTCAGCTCTTGGATAATGCTACCGAGTTGAAACAACAACAAAAACTTACTTCGTGACGCATTTGCAAGTGTGAGCTTCCCGTGCCAACTAAGATGGTATTATCCTGTTAACGATTAGACAATGCTGAAAACTATAATATCCAAGTGGGGAAAAGTCCATTCATTGCACAGCCAGTTTCCTTCTCACAAAGCGAGTATCTGATTGGATGATTGTAATGATTTGAACTCACAACCACCGCACTGATTGGGCATATTTATAACCACATCAGCACGCGGCCGATAAACAGTATTCAACAATTGCACATGCATACACAATACGCCAGCTCTTGAAAGCTAAGCAGCTGATGAGCCGGGATAGTGCTTGAATAGAAGAGCACCACGCACGCCTGGTTCTAATGGGCGTCTGAAACGCTACGTGGACAGCCCAGCAAAGTGCACTGTTGATCTGTGCTTAAAAGTGGTCTCCGTGTTCACCAAGCAGCACTGACCAGCGTGGCCGGTGATCAAAACACCCCTTTTCCATGACCCGTTCGGCGTGGGGAGGCTCCCAGCCAGCAATGGATTGACAAATGAGCTGTGCACGACAATTGAGCGCAATGGTTTTCAACCTTTTTGGTATGGCGGCCCCCCAATGAAGAACACTGGCCCACGCGACCGGCCCACGCGACCAACCCCCCCCCCGTTTACCAAAGACACGATAGCGAGATAAATCACACACTCCTCTGGTCAACGCGCTGTAACGCAATTGTTCACGTTGTGCATTAGTGCGTTTTTACGCACGAATACTAAAAGTTACGCTTACGTTCGCAGCGCCAATTCTACAGTTGTCCTGCACAGTATCCGTGCAACTAACCCACGCGCTCCCCCCTCAAAGGCTTCCTCCTTCAGTCGAACACTCTCCACTGGCTGAAATTCATTGAACTGTTTTATTATTATTGAACAATGTTTAAATAATACGAACAATACTAGCCAAGTGCACACGCGTATTCTAAACTCGGAGGCCTTTGTTGCTTAGGCCCCCCGAGTCTCGACTTAGCGGCCGTGCGGGCCTCGGGCTGCCTTCCCCGGCAGGAGATCCAGGCAAGGCAAGGCTCCATCTCAGTGCGTCGTGCTAAATAAAGGGAAGAAAAGCGCGGGAAGTATGTTTGTTTTATCTTACCTCGCGTCCTACTTGAGGCGGTTCGAGGTGTCGGACGAGAAAGCGATTGATGTGACTCGTTAACTGTTATTTACAATTAAATCTGGGGCAGCGTGAGGCGGAGTTGTCGGACAACGTCTCCCGAAGCTACGGGACCCGCGCGTCGCCAACTGCAGGCAAGTCTCGCGAGAACATGTTAATGAGGCGGGGGGAGCTGCGAGATTATGTTAAGTAGGTGCCATATCAATTCAATGTAAAAAATTAACCCGTACAAAGTTTTTCACTATAAATCTTTTATATGTGTGGCATCGGTTTTATTTTATTATTCATTTCTGTTTTTCTTGAGTAAGAGTTTCATTTTTATCACATTGGTATTTTAAATTAAATATGAATTTTTTTTTCCTAAAAAGTGGAAAATTTAGGAAAAAAATTTTCACGAAAATAAATTGTTACGCACAACGAGTCTGTGTGCAAAATGTCAGCTCGATTGGATCACGGGAAGTGGGTTATAAAACGACCGAAAGATTTGCACGGTCGTAAGCGCGCAAGCAAGTGAACTTAATATAAAGGATGTAAAAAAAAATAACCCGTAAAAACAAAGTTTTTCACTCTAAATCCTTTATATGCGTGGCGGCTAGAGTCCTCTCGTCTTCTGGCTTGAGATGGCTGCCACCTATGGGTCAGATGATTGTCTGGAAGCATTAAGCAATTGGTAATTAAATATAATTTTTTTTTTCCTAAAAAGTGTAACATTTTGGGAAAATTTTCACGAAAATAAATTGTCACGCACAACGAGTCTGTGTGCAAAATGTCAGCTCGATTGGATCACGGGAAGTGGGTTAAAAAACGACCGAAAGATTTGCACGGTCCTAAGCAAGCAAGCAAGCAAACTTAATATAAAGGATTTAAAAAGCAGCACTCCCATCCAGCGAGGAAAGTTTTTCAATCAGCGCATGATAACTCAGGACTTGATTTCTCACTTTAAATGTTCCAGTACAAAACCAGCCAACCCACACGGTTTACCCCGTATTCATGTACAGGGAAATTTAGTATTAAGATCCATGCGGCGTACAGCTGTTTCAATAGGGCACTTTTTTGTTCGTATATTTGTTTGTTTCTCGCTCGTGATGCGACTTTGTAGGATGAACACTGTGATTTATAAGGACACGAGGTGACCAATAAGGTCTGAATTGGTCTGTAAGAAAGTAAGCACCAATAAGGGCTTGACAGGTATGTGGCTAGGAGTATGAATGATCGGCCGAAGGCACTGCCAAGTCGGGTACAAGATTGGCCTATCCATAAGTACTTCTATTATTGTACTTGATATTCCTACAATTCTGTTGCGGGGGTGGGGGGGTAGCTAATGATGTACACGTTAAATAAATACAGCATTGAATAATCAATCATATAACCACACAATTAGTATGATGCTGGTCAAGAAAAATAACGGAGTGGCAGCCATGGGATGGAACTGTTTGGAGAGGAACGTCCAACAATGAGATGGAGCGATTAAATCAGCTTGTGTGCAGGTGTTAAATTGCTGGAACATATGGCGCAGCCTTTCTGTCAATGCACTGCTGGATAAAGGCCTCCACAAGCCGTGCGGGTCGTGGCGAGGTTTATTCTCCGATATACTTTATTATTAAAGTACTATTAAAATATTATTGAAGTAAAGTTGCCATTGTATAGGAAGGGGCACAGCTGGTGCATCTGCAAGTCATCTTAATCGGGCAACCCATGGCACCTGCTGGGTCTGCTGTCCCGTAATGCTGCCTCAAAGTGCACGTGGCCTGGCACATGGGGCCGTGACGTCACAGTATCTTCGTGGCGAATGGCGGCTGTCGGTTGTTGTTGGTACAGTATTAAGGGTGCGTTCACCTTTATGCTAATTATAACTCGCGATTATGTTAATGAGGTCCGTGATCATGTTAATGTTACTCGCATCTACGTGCCGATTGGCTGACGGGGTCGTGACGCGTCCCTCTAAACCAATCGGGGATTGATCGGCGTCACGGACTTCGTGTGAGTGTGGAAGCGGTGGGGAAGGGGGTGGGGCAGCGGTGGGGAAGGGGTGGGGCTTCAGTGGAGGGGGTGGGGCTTCGGGTAGAGGGGCTTCGGGAAGAGGGGGTGGGGCTTCAGGGGGAGGGGTGGGGCTTCAAGAGGAGGGGGTGGGGCTTCGGGTAGAGGGGGTGGGGCTTCGGGAAGAGGGGTGGGGCTTCGGGAAGAGGGGGTGGGGCTTCAGGGGGAGGGGGTGGGGCTTCAAGAGGATGGGGCGGGGCTTCTGGAAGAGGGGGTGGGGCTTCAGGGGGAGGGGTGGGGCTTCTGGAAGAGGGGGTGGGGCTTCTGGAAGAGGGGGTGGGGCTTCAGGGGGAGGGTCGGGGCTTCAAGAGGAGGGGGTGGGGCTTCGGGAAGAAGGGGTGGGGCTTCAGGGGGAGGGGGTGGGGCTTCAAGAGGAGGGGGTGGGGCTTCAAGAGGAGGGGGTGGGGCTTCGGGAAGAAGGGGTGGGGCTTCAGTGGGAGGGGTGGGGCTTCGGGAAGAGGGGGTGGAGCTTCAGGGGGAGGGGCTTCTGGAAGAGGGGGTGGGGCTTCGGGAAGAGGGGGTGGGGCTTCAGGGGGAGGGGGTGGGGCTTCAAGAGGAGGGGGTGGGGCTTCGGTAAGAGGGGGTGGGGCTTCGGGAAGAGGGGGTGGGGCTTCGGGAAGAGGGGGTGGGGCTTCAGGGGGAGAGGGTGGGGCTTCGGGAAGAGGGGGTGGGGCTTCAAGAGGAGGGGGTGGGGCTTCGGGAAGAGGGGTGGGGCTTCGGGAAGAGGGGGTGGGGCTTCAGGGGGAGAGGGTGGGGCTTCGGGAAGAGGGGGTGGGGCTTCAAGAGGAGGGGGTGGGGCTTCGGGAAGAGGGGGTGGGGCTTCGGGTAGAGGGGGTGGGGCTTCGGGAAGAGGGGGTGGGGCTTCAGGGGGAGGGGTGGGGCTTCAAGAGGAGGGGGTGGGGCTTCGGGTAGAGGGGGTGGGGCTTCGGGAAGAGGGGTGGGGCTTCGGGAAGAGGGGGTGGGGCTTCAGGGGGAGGGGGTGGGGCTTCAAGAGGAGGGGGCGGGGCTTCTGGAAGAGGGGGTGGGGCTTCAGGGGGAGGGGTGGGGCTTCTGGAAGAGGGGGTGGGGCTTCTGGAAGAGGGGGTGGGGCTTCAGGGGGAGGGGCGGGGCTTCAAGAGGAGGGGGTGGGGCTTCGGGAAGAAGGGGTGGGGCTTCAGGGGGAGGGGGTGGGGCTTCAAGAGGAGGGGGTGGGGCTTCAAGAGGAGGGGGTGGGGCTTCGGGAAGAAGGGGTGGGGCTTCAGGGGGAGGGGGTGGGGCTTCAAGAGGAGGGGGTGGGGCTTCAAGAGGAGGGGGTGGGGCTTCGGGAAGAGGGGGTGGAGCTTCAGGGGGAGGGGCTTCTGGAAGAGGGGGTGGGGCTTCGGGAAGAGGGGGTGGGGCTTCAGGGGGAGGGGGTGGGGCTTCAAGAGGAGGGGGTGGGGCTTCGGGAAGAGGGGGTGGGGCTTCGGGAAGAGGGGTGGGGCTTCGGGAAGAGGGGGTGGGGCTTCAGGGGGAGAGGGTGGGGCTTCAAGAGGAGGGGGTGGGGCTTCGGGAAGAGGGGGTGGGGCTTCGGGAAGAGGGGTGGAGCTTCAGGGGGAGGGGGTGGAGCTTCGGGAGGAGGAGAGAAGTCGCTCATGGCGGAGCGCGGCTTCAAGGCGGCCGTCGGCGGCGGGAGTGGAGGAGACGCCGGCGGTAGCAGCGCCAGGCGAAGGAGGTTCAACCCGAGGAAGCGGCCAGCCAGCGGCGACCGCACGGGTGCGCGAACGGGAGGTGTTGTGTTGATGTTCGACACACGCACACACACAAGTCATTAAAAGTTGAATCGCGCGTGTTGCCACCACCAGCACCACCGGCTTCAAACCGCGCACGTGGAAGCGGTGGTTGGTGATGTACGACGATGGGAGCTGTAATGGTGTAGAAGTTTGATTGCGATCGTCATCTAATATCGGTGGCAGCGGTGTAGTAGTTAATGGGGTTCGTGGTGGTGCCTTGTGTGGTGCGTGGAGCTGTATAGTTGCAGTGGTTTGTGCAACGCCGCGTTACGAACACGGCCATCCGGGTTAGATTCGGGCTCGAGGTAAACAACAACAGCGACGATTTACCTGAACCGGTCCTGGGCCTCCCCCTAGATCGACTCGGTGAGCACCCTCGTGTGCCGTGCCGGCCTTCATAGGTGCTCGCTTACACGGCACTTGCTACAGTCTGTTGAGGCTACACGGGGTGATCTTTTGATGGTGCCTTGTAATGGTGTAGGAGGTGGTTGTGATTGTGATCTGGTGATGGTGGTAGTGATGTGGTTGTTGTTGGCTGTGGCGGTGATGGAGGAGGCTCCTGGATAGTTGGAAGCCGTCGCCCTCCCAACAACAGCGGAGTGCAGAGGAGCGACGCTCATAACAACGAACAGAGCGCCGGGCGGCTAAATACAGAAAGTTGGTACAGTAGAGGGGGCACCTATAGCACCTGGGTCTCGTGACATCCTGTCAACGAACCTTCCGACACTTTTTGTGACCTCGAAGTGCACCTGGCCTGGCACAAGCACCGTGGGGACGTCACCGCCACTTGGTGGCGAATGTTGGCCGTTGTTGATTGCCGTGTGGTATTCGCCATGTGATAGTAGCTGTGATGGTAGTGATTTATGAAACTGGTGGTAACGGTGGTGGTGGTGATTGATTTCTTGGTGATAGTGACTAGTTTTATTTGTTTGTATATATATTTTTAAAGTTATTTGTTTACCTTGCCTATAATTTGCACGCCTATCATGTTTTTGTATTACTGAACATCTCTGAAAAATAGATGTATATAGTTCATTGGATTCCTTCAGTATAAATAAATATTCTGATTGGGAATTGATGCTCATATTGTAGAGTCCGTGGTTATTCGGGACGTGATTAGAGCGAAAGTAGCCAATAATAATGTGATTCATGTTTGGGTCAGTTATTGGTATTGCGTTGCAGTCAAAGGGGTCTCAAAGTGGTCATAGGAATTGGGTCAGGGTTGGAAAGTGGTCGGTAATTATGGTTGCTTTAGGGTCACTCAAGGTTTAAATGTAGTCCGTGTTAGGGCCAATTCTTTTGTTAGGGCTGAAATTGCTGGTGTTAGGATTATATAGGTTAGATGGTTAAAGATGTCCTGGGTAGATGTTGTGTTAGAATTAGATCTTTCAATGTTATCCCTTATTATCCATGAGGTTTCTCTGGGTACTCTGGCTTTATTTTACCAACATGCATGCATTGAATCGGCTAGACTTCCCAATGCCGGACGTTTCTGAAAAATATTCATAAGATTCCGTGATTTTTTTTTTTGCACAAAGTGAAATATTACGGTAGCTTTTGAGGGTGAAGACTTTAGTTTGAGTTAATGTACATGTGTTTATGGATGTTTGGGTAGAATTAGATGGGGTAGTGGTTAGGGTTGCGGTAATGTTTAAAATGTACAGGGAGGGATGAAATTGGTTAAGGATTTAGATTGTGTTTTTGGTTATATTGGTTAGGTTTTGTGTTGGAGTTAAAGCCCATCAGCCATAGTGGTTGAGCTGTGGTTTAAATGGGCCCGGGTTGGGATGACATTGATATGATTGTGGTTGTTGGGATTAAGTGAGATGAGTAAGGATAAAAGGATTGTGTTAGGGCACTTAGAGTTAAATGGGGTAATGGCAATAGATGTGTAATGGTTACATGGGTTAGAGTTCCGTGATAAAGTTATCATCCTGGGTCGTTGTTAAAGCTATATTGTGTATGGTTATATAAGACAAGGTTAAGTTAAATGGCTCGTGGCTAAATGGATCATGGTTAAATGGATCACGGCTAAATATAATTAGTATTCAAGAAAACAGATTATGGTTCAGTGTACTTTAAAATGATACAGAATTATGGCTTAATAAGTTAGTTAAACACAATTACAGTATTGTATTTGATCTCTTTCAAATTACAGTACCTGTACATGTGTACTTTATAATATGAGGTTCGTGCTACATGGTTATGAATAAGCAGTGAGCAAACTAACAGATTTCATAGTTAATGGAAATAAACACTGCTTTGAATATTTCATCGTGTTCCATAGCAGGTACAAACACGATGACTCACTGACAGAGGATATAATGTAAGAGAAACAAATGGAGTTGAGCTGAATCTGCGTTCAGATGTTGTGGTATCTAAAATAGTGGGGCAACAGAATTATCTCTGCCATGAATATGCCCTCGTTTATAAAAAAAAATCATAATATGGCGCACAACAGGTTTCCATACGCGTTCCAAGTAGGGGCGTAACGATTCATTTATCAGTAAATCTTTATTCTAAGCTATTAAAATATCCGTGAAATCAGACGTATATGAATCGATGTTTTTGTATTCATGTGGATTGTTTGTAATGCTTTCACATGACCCCTTGTAGTCAATAGTCGCCACCACATTAACCACAATGTTTACATCTTGACATAAATGTATGGTATATAGAGTACAGTATATATTTAATAGTTATAGGAGTAGCTATTGCTGCCTGATCTGTTGTACCTGTAGGGTATATAGTTTTAAATGTGGGTGATTGTGGCTGCACTGTATAGTTTTTGATATTTCAGTACCAACCTCCGATTGACATGATAAGTCACCGTGTGTGTATATACATTCTTTATTGATTACGGTGTCATCTTGTGGCATGAGACTTAACGTTCCATTACGTTATGATAAACACTTTTTTTAATATATATTTTTTTCTTTGTGGATACCACAATTAGTAATATGTTCTATAAAGCTTGTGGGATAACTTGCCAAAAGCATACCTGTTAACCCCTTATCAGTGCCCTACCTTATTACAGACCAATTCAGACCTTATTGGTCACCCCGTGCCCTTAGAAATCTCAACGTTCATTCTAAAAAGCCCGTATTGAAATGCCTGTTTGCCGTATGGACCTGAACTTAATTTCCCTGCACAAGAATACGGGTAAACCGTATGGGTTGACAGGTATGGTCAAAAGTCACAGGCTCGAGCTCATCCCGGTCTGCATGTAGTGATGTCATAGGTATGAGACTGCATCGTTTAAAATCGGCATGTTTCTCATGTCGCATGACAAAAACACAGACCCCCTCAGCTAGCACAAATGCCAAATCATTCGCTTGATGAGCCTATTGGCTTCATTGATTGTAATAACGTTACTACACTAAGGCTAAACCTTTTTTTTTCACTTTGGCCGAACGATTTTTATAATTGTTCAAAATGTGATGATCTGCATAATAACGGTTATAGAATATAAAGATTCGATATGGGTATACAACAAGCCTACCCTAAATGTAGGAATATTCGGATTATTTTATTGCACATTGTTGCTTTTGTCAAATGTGATTGAAAATGTACAAAAGTGTTACTAAAGGATGTATTACATGCTTTGCATTTTAAAATCAATCATTTTATTGATGTCATTTTTTGTAAAAAGAAAATTTTGTTAATCACAGCTGGCTGCATTGTGCCAGTGCTTGTGAAATACAAAATAAATAAATAACCCGCACTAATGTCACGCGGTATAAGAAATTGATAATTGATTTAGAGACTGCATTTGTCTAAATGAATAATGCTCCTAGGGGGTGGAGAGCAAAGAGGGGAAAAAATATCGAGGGGGGGGAAAAGACAACCGCACAATGCCTCTGTTTGGCATCTGCTGCTGTGCCGCGTGGGGGGGAGGACCTCACTTTCGTCGTGGTGTGCGCCACTGACCTTGTTTGCTTGTTTTGAAGCCTTGCTATAGGGCCAGTAGGCAATGGATTTTTCATTCTCGGACATTTTCTGCATTCTTCCCGAACCAGAGAGCAGCGATGAGGATGGCGCAGCAGTGTTCAGGCCTGAGCGAAAGCAGCAGGCTGCAAACCCCATGGTTCAAGGCGTAAGTCTTTTTTTCTTTCCTCCATCATATCCGTGCGCAGCAGTGCTTAATCGTATGCAGACTTGATTTATTTGAACATTTGTATGCTGTTTCTTCGCGTCGTGTGTTATAGGTTTTGCGATACGATGTTGCCATTGAAAGGTTTTGCATTTTATCGGCTGAACATAATCCAAGGAGAGGTGTTCTGCGTTATACACGTGGGTTTTTGTTTTCTCCGCGACTGCGTTGTTTACTTCCACGAATTGAAGTCTATGTGCACAGAATCCTAATTTCATTGCATGATGTCACTGCTGGTTGCTACAGTGCAGTTTATATTGTATGCTATACGTAGTATTTGTTGTGTTGTGCAGATATAAATGTATATAGGGCAGTATTCATTCGTTTATTATTTGGAAATTAACAGCAGATGTTCATTGCCGTTTCATCTTAAGATCACAATTTTTTATATTGTATCCATACTACATTGTGCATAATGCATTTGCAGATATTACATGTTGCAGTAGATAACTAATGAAAACGAACATTTACCAATTATGTGTGTATGCCAAATAATTGTAATTCATCGTACAAACATTGGTGATTCTACTTTGGCAGTGGTGCACAAGCACAAAAAACAGTCAACCTATACATCAGTAATGCCTTAAAAGGGAAATGTATATCTACAATGTTTATAAATAAAAATTTTCATCAGAGCCTCATGGTTTATGGTGCAGTTTCCCAAGTGCTATTCACTCCTCTGGCTTGTATGTGCTTTGAAGAAGGGCCATTACCCAAAACGTTGCCTGTTATATATTTTTCCTCTTAAGGCAGATTGTCATACGTGAGAATATAATTAGATTTTAATGCGAGTTTTTGCTACAATAAAAAAAATCGATTCCATTTTTTTCCCCAAATATATATTTTTTTCATAAATTTTATACGTCTGCCAGCATAGACTCAACATTTACAGTGGTTTACATACACAGTATGTTATATACACATGGACGCCCATATATTGACTTTGCTTTGTTAAATATTTTCATCTCAGGACAATTTACAATTAAGAACAATTTAGGGGGGAAATGCGAATGGTAATGATTATATTATTTAACACTTTACAACCTTCGTTTTTGTCTTTGGACGTACAGTATTTAATTATCAGTATCTAAACCAACGTTTAGCTGTTGGGGACAAATGCATCTGATTTTTTGTAAATACAGGAGTAGTTTGTATCTCCTATGTTTAGGCAACCCTATGGTTGATGTTTCCCAATTTTAAATATTCGAAGTCCCTTTATATAACCACAGACTTGGTAGACGTTGTTTCTTCATCTTTGAGAGTTGTAGTGAACCCCCCCCATCCCTCGATCTCTCTTATGGAAAGAGCTAATGCCGAAATGTTTTCAACATTCGTTGAAAAGTAGTAATTTGCACACCTGTGCATATGAAATACAACCTTTGTTGTTAAAGTAGGCACTCTTTAAATTAAAACTTAGTTTTTCAAAAAAATAGCCTGCCATCCATGTGTTCTGACAGTATAAGTTGTATATTACAGGGAGCTAATTCCAAGATATTACAAAAAATATACCCTATGAAAACATTGAACAACTTATATATTTTTTAAATGTAGCATATTTTGGTTGAAAATACAATCTATAATTTGTAAATGTAATTTTTTTAAAATAACTATTTACCCAGGGAAGCCTCACTGAATCTCAAAATATTTTTTTACGTGGGGTCCTGCATTGGAATGTCCAGCCACTTCCATTAATATGTGGAGACATGTGGGAGGAAATTGACATGTGGGAGAACATACATGGATAAAACCAATCCATAAGAAGGGGTACATATAAAGCTCTGCAAAAATAGACTCATGATATCATTGCTCTTATACCATAACCTGGTCACCTTGCAGCCTAAGCCTACAATACTTGGTATTGGTATTCCCAGACAAGCTCCCATCCAAATTATGTCCTGTGTCAAACCTGCTTAACTTCTCAGCTCTTAGAAGATCTGATGTATTAATGGTTTGGTCATAGAATTAAAAACAATGTGATTGTTCCCATGGTGCGTTTTGTACCCTTTTCTTAAGTACGTTATGAAAGAGAACATTGAAACACATTCAAAAAGGAACTTTGGTGAATAGCTGTCGCGAAAAAATGTATTCCTGCTTGTAAAGTGAGCACATTAGCTGAATTTACTGTGGACATATGATCCTTATGGTGGTTACCCCAGGGTACCAAGTAATGCAAAATGGCTGAGACAATTAAATATGTTATTTCTGGGACACTTTTTTCCAGGGGTGTACTCAACTCCGCAACTGGGGTACCAATCAATCCGAAATCAGTGCTACGCCGCGATGTCGAAACGCAGGGAGGACAATTGCGCTGAAACCCTGAACGCTCGTACGCACCATAGTACATCGTGTACAGCTCGACGAGATGAGTCGATTGCCGCATCGCTGACCATCAACAGACTAAAAATGACAGCATCACGGACATTATGTGAGAGCCGGGGTACTATGGGACCTCGGGGTCCCGCCATAAGGTTCATATAAATATATGAATAAATCTCAGTTCCTCAGGTCAGTGATTGTGTTTGTGTATACAAACACAGTATATAATTGCTTAACTGTATTTGTATATACTCTGAATCATTACAGACTAAGCGAGTAACCCGTGAAAAGCAAAAGTACAGCAGCAGTGAGAGCGAGGAGGATCGAGGAATAACTGTGGCCTACAAGTCTTCACGCTCAGCAGTAAGTTATTTTTATTTAGATTTTTTTTTAATCTGGAAAACTGCTCTTAACAAGCCAATATGTCAAATACTTTTACATGATTAGAAACCCAAGTGCTGCAATAATGCTAATGTTTTGGTACTTGTCTGTGATTTGCTTTACAGAAACCACTGGGACCAGATGACATGGGTGCCACTGCCACATATGAGCTGGATACAGAGAAGGTCAACGATGCACAGGCCATATTTGAGAGAAGTCAACAGATACAAGAGGTATGTCTCTAGCCAGACTAGCCCGAGACCATGGCTGATAATAGTGTGATTGCATATACTATTGGAGTAAATTTGGGCAACTTTTATCCAATTACACCTAATATGTGAGTGCAGCTTTAGTCCCTTTTGATGTAAACATTACATTACAAGGATTCATTGCAGAATGTATTTTTCAGGAGATAAAAGGAAAAGAAGATGACAAAGTCTACCGTGGAATACATAACTACACAAAATTCATCAAACCGAAGGAAACGGCAATGGGAAATGCATCGTCTGGCATGGTCAGGTGAATATAAAAAACAAGAGTGAATTCCTTCAGCAGTGTATTTGAAAGGACACAATAGTTTCACAGCAGAGTGCAGTAATACCCAAATCATAGATTGTAGTGCTGGTTGCCAAACCAAGTAACAACTAGTGGTCATTTACTACCAACTTTGGAGTCGTTACTGACTCGGACAATTCAACACTGACTGCAAATACAATGGGCATGATAAACGTTAGCACAAGACCATTTAATCCTGATAGTGGTCCATCTTGGCATTGTTTTTTTACATTTGCTCCACCAGACTGAAATAGCCCTTTGCCAACATGTGAGCTGCAACCAAAACATGTGCTTGTATTTAATTTGGTATAGCTGCAAGGTCTGAAAAGATCAGCAGGGTAATTTTTGACTGATCTTTCAAAGACAAGCTTATTTAGCATGTTATTTTTTTCTCCATATCGATACTAATGATTATGTTGAGTTATGTATTCTCGAATGTTGCATCAAACTAGGACCTATAGCAGAAAGGGAGGGTCCTTGCCTGTAAGATCTGCAGTTCACCAGCATTTATTGAAGCAAGGCTGACTGCTGATGAGACACTATGTTGAAACTGGTCCAGAGTTTGTTTGTCTTGAATCAATGCAGCTGGAATTATACACTCCCGGAAGGCCGTGCAGCTTGATGGGTTGTGTAAGAAATACTTTTATTATTTTCATGTTGAGAGAGACTTATGTATGAAGTAGACCTTGGTTATTTTGTATTAAAATAGAATGTTGTTTATTACACACCCTCTATCTGTAATGTTTTTCTTTTCATTACTTGCAGAAAAGGGCCTATCCGGGCTCCTGAGCACTTGCGAGCTACAGTACGGTGGGACTACCAACCTGACATCTGTAAAGATTATAAGGAAACTGGATTCTGTGGCTTTGGTGGTAAGATGCGGCCAAGTTTTTACGTAACGCATTCATCAATAATATACATAAAATTGTGTGGAGGAAATTGCGTGTGATTGTGCAGTTTTGCAAAGCCTGTTCCCATCATCAGCTGCTGTGATTTGCTGAGCTGTGTTATTTGATATTTTTGGCAGTGGTTGTCCTGTCCATTAAAACACTCAAATGGCGAAGCTTCATTGATCACTTGCTTTGTCATTCTCTCATTACACAGATAGTTGCAAGTTTCTGCACGACCGCTCAGACTATAAGCATGGCTGGCAAATCGAGCGGGAGCTGGAGGAAGGCCGCTATGGAGCTACAGGTTGGTGAAAATATTAACATTTTAGCCAATGTGTTAGCCAAATACCTTGTTATTTACACTGAATAATACTACATACTGTATGTCATTATTATCGTCAGTCATGGTCAATCCACTGCTAGATTAATGTATTCCCAAGCCGCAACCACCACTCATGATGTTGCGATGCAACGGTTCATCCAGAACTTTTACAGGAACTGATTTAATTGCCCCATCTTTTGAACATTCTCTGAGGCACGTTCCATACATTTGTTGCCAATCCGTTATTATTCTTCACCATCTATCATCCATTATAGCAATAGATCCTGCCCAAACTCACTTTTCTCAATGGTTTGGATGATTTAATTAACCCTGTATATGTTCTATAATCGATGTTTATTTTCAATTAATAAAGTTTTTGACCTTTTTTCATAGCAGGTAGTACACAGTGATTAAACGTGTGGAGAAAGCATGTCACCTTGTCTGACTCCTTTTAATATGTATGTTGGTAATGTCTTCATACAATCCTATTTTTTTTTTCTGAATATCTTGATTTGAAGCTTTAATGACTGCAGGAATCCATACTCACCTACGTGACTTTACCGAAAGAACCAAAGAGTATTTCTGAATATATTTTGTTAACTTGGATGACAGCATCAATGTTTACTTAGCCAAATGCATTTTCAAAGTCTACAAAGGCTAGGCACAAAGCCCGCATCGCACCTCATTGGACCTGCCACTACACCATTCCATGATTGCGGTATTTAGTTTCTCTGTAAACATTTCGTGAAAAAGTCCACTAATTGTTTCGGCAGTTGGCCCTGCTTGTTTGAGGATGTCCACAGTTATACCATCCTTGTCTAGGAGCTTTCCCCTATTCAATGATAAGGAGCAGAGTTTACTTCACATATAGCATCTACAATGTCTTCTTCTTTATTTGAGAGTTGGTCTGAATCCTGGGGTAAATGCATTTTTTACAGAGGGAAATGCGCTATTTTAAGATTATATTTCTCTTATGAGTTATTGTTCTGTATTTTCCCCTAAGGATCAGGTAATGTTAAAAATAAAACCTTGAGGAAGCTTGCAATTTTTGTTCAATTGCATTACCAGACATTCGTTTAAATTGAGCAATATCACTTCTACCAGCAATTGTGACAACTTAATCCTGTGTTCGTCAACAGCGGAAGAAAATTATGAAGTCAGCAGTGGGGATGAGGATCTTCCTTTCAAGTGTTTCATCTGCAGGGAGTCATTCCAACACCCAGTTATCACAAAGTAAGCTGACGTTTGCATTGCCTTCAAGAACCTAATGGTTATGATGTATATGATTACGTGACATTTAAAAATACATAAATGATGTGAATTGTGAAGAGCACTCCATCCATTTCATTCCTAACCAGTGTAATTCTACTCAATTGTTTGTACTTCACAGGTGCAAGCATTACTTTTGTGAAAAATGCGCCCTTCAGCATTACAAAAAGTCCAAGAGGTGTTTTGTATGTGGACAACAAACAATGGGCGTGTTCAACCCAGCTAAAGGTTCTCATGATATTTATTTAACACTACCTAAAATATTGTTGTGCTAATTCAAAAACGTTGGTTTGAATTAACCTCGTTATTTTAAACATTGCCACTTGGTCGTGTTGTAATTAGTTTCATTAAAAAAATAGCATTATGGTGGCCTCATTGTTCATGATAAAATAATGTGATTGCAATTGGTTTAACAATATTGTCTGATGTGTTTAATTTGTCACCTCAGAACTGATTGCTAAGATGGAGAAGATAAAGCAGAACATGAAGGGGAATTCCGATGAAGATGAAAAGTCTGCACCACAGCATTCTCATAATGAATGACAAATTCTGCATCTTCACTTTCTACTAATTTCTGTCTAGACACATTTGTATTGAGCCTAATTTTTACTGAAATCTCTGTCAATTTACAGTAAATATTGTAACGTCTTCACAGTAGATTTTAGGCATTGGCTATATTTTTTTGTAAATAAACTGACAAATGGAATTACCCTGTGTTTTTGCCCATGTTAAGGAAACGTATTAAACTATCCTATCCAGTTAAACATGGAAATATGAATTTCATTTCACTGGGTTCTCATGTTGCTAAATAGGTAACGTGTGGATATGTATTATCTTTGTATGGCAAAATAGCTCAATCACAAGGTCATGCGTGGACTTTCTAGTCAGGAGACGAGGTGAGGCTGCACTATTTGGTGGGAAAGCAGAACTGTTGTATTAAACGTATATTCTTGATTATACTGGTAGGAACCTCCTGGTTACACCAGCCCACAGGGGATTATTGTGTCCGTCCGTCGTGCATCCAAAAATGGGGGGGGAGGGGCTGCTCGCCTCGATGTGCCCTTATAAAACTCAACGTTTAACCTACTCACGCCGGCTTGTGCCTGCCCTCAGTCGGCCATATTTGCGGAATACACCACGCTGCTGTTGACCCTGGCCATTGACCGAGCAACCCAACGTTCCTACCAGCTCCCTCCGCAGGAATGTTAACACATTATTCGGCCTTTTGCTGTCATGTTCTTTGCATGTCAGACTAGGGAGATTACTGCCGTGTTGGTATATCTGTTATCTGCTTCTTTTTGGGTCTTTTCCATATCACATTGGGTTCAAATAAAAAATATATACAATTGCTGAGCAAAAGCCCAAAACGTCAAACAGCCAGCAACAAACAGCACTATCAAATTCGTAACAGGTATGAATTGATTTCGTGAATTGAGCAAGTTTATGTATCCATACATAGCTACTTTTCCCTGATTCCCCCCCCCCCCCCCCCCCCGCTTTGAATTGATACAAATTAAAAAATACATACTGTGGCTATTTTGCATTAGGCCTTGTATTTTCCAGTTCCTGGCTGTTTCCTGCCTTTCCCGTGCTTCGGTGTGGTAGCACAAGGTCTCTTCAGGGCCTGCTCGAACTAAATGTTAGTAGTGCAGGGCCTGAGCTGTGTCATTGTGGTGCAGTGTTGACCCTGAGGCCTGCCCAATATTTGTGGTGGCATGTGGTCTGCTTGGAATCAGCTTGTGCTGCATTTCGCCTCTGTTGAAACAGTTCTTGGGGGTGGGCACAGGGAGAGAGGCATATAAGCCGTGTTTTTTTTTAATTGAATTGGGTGGCTGATGTGGATGGGCAACTTGATAGCATACTGGACTGGCCTTTGATCCCAAATTGCTATTTTTTCAGAAATGTCATCGGTGATGAACTTGGGTGCCTTTTGCTCTGCTTTGTGTGTGGGAGGGGGGGGGGGGGGTTCATTTTAACTTTCTCCGTAATTCAAAATGCATTGCTATTTTTCATCTTGTTCCCATATATTCTTCCATTAGTGTTCCGTATTTTGATTGTATTTGTAAGACATTTGTGCCAAATGAAAATCGCAATCCTTAAACTAGACACTGCCTCAAGAGGACTGCCAATACTCTTCATTGCCTCGTGCTCATTTATTCCATTGAGGGGATGGTGACAACTTGGGAGAGACAAAGCTGTGAAATATCCATCACCAATACTGATACCATTTTTGATATGGGCGACAAATCTTTGTTGCAATCAACTAAAGAAAAGCTTGGTCAACGATAATATCAAGTATGACTGACAATTCCACAGTTCCTCGTATTGTTTTAGAATGACGTTATCCATCGTAAAACCATAAATCTGCTTGGCACATGCATTGTATATGGCCCGTGAATGATCTGACCAAGGAGGCATTCAAGAAGCTTGGTTTTATTTCCTGTGCCAAAGCATTTTTCTAATTCTGAACAATTATTGCTAGAATACAATGTAAAAAAATCAGCTTAAGTTAGAATATTGTCTTCTGGGATGAAGCACCCGGTACTTACCTAACTGTAATATAATTAAGTGTATAGCAGTCAAGGTTGATAATCCATCACTCACTACAATCACTTGCAGTGATGCTTGTCTCTTGCGGTCAGATGCGTCATTACTCTTCTGTCACAACTACTCTGGTTACTATTTAATTTGAACTTTTCATGGATTCTCCACCCATGTTGGGGATTCGGGTCTACCGGACTGTTTTATCTCATCCACACCACAATGTTCAACCTCCACACTGCAGGTCACAACACTTGTCTTTCAGATTTTCCCCTTGCACTGCTAATCGCATATTTTCCAAAGCTATGATAAGTTACTTTGAGCTTTTATTTGTGGCCAGGTCGATTCTAAAATATAAGTTAATACCTTTGGGCTTTACCTGGTATGATGGGGATGGATTAGTTGTATTTGTATGTTTTTGGGTGATTTGTTTAGCTTATATTTTGCACTGCTATCGTGTTTTGTTTGTTTTGTTGTAACGTTATTACCCGCCCCTATTGGACATCTGTGAAAAAGAGCTTTATAGCTCATCAGATTCCTCCAGTATAAATATTCTGATTTCGAACTCTTATACGTTAAATTTTGGACTGCAGTTTATTGCGTGACCCATTAGGCCCGTGCTCGGCAACGGTGTTTAAAAATCATAATAATGTAGCATGCCGTGTGACATCATCGCCTTGGTCGAAAAGGCTTATTCATTGTTTTTTGGGTCTTTTATACAAAGTATTGGATAACCTTTTGATCAAAATGGCTGGTTTTATGTGCATTTATTTGGTAGTGCCGCTTTGGCAATGATGCACGATCACACACCCACGCAAATAAAAACTCCAACACGTTTATCTAGTTTATGTGCTATGAAGGGCCATTGCCCAAAACGTCACTTATTCATTTGTCCCGTGTAAGGCAGTGTTATTGACTGGCGTTTTTTTTTATAGTACCGTAGAAGTACCGGATAGCATCACAGCCTTATACAAACATGAATGTCACTGCATTCACTCTTTCCATCTGTCTGTGACATGGGGGTCACGGTAAATGTTCATCTTTATGGGCGTTATGGAGACCCAATGTTACAGACACATACCGTGTCAACCAATACGGTGTATCCGTATTTTTATACAGGGAAATTGAGTTTTCAGTTCCATACGGCGTACAGCCGTTTCAAGACGGGCAAATAAAAACAAATGTGTATTTGTGTTTCTCCTTTGTGATGGGACTTTGTAGGATGCACGTTGAGATTTATAAGGGCACGGGGTGACCAAGAAAGTCCGAGTTGGTCTGTAAGAAAGTAAGCACCAATAAGGGCTTGACGGGTATGCAAATAGCAAGAGCTAACATTCACGATCTCTTTCAACCATTAGCCGCATATTCATTCAAACATGTGAATGAGTAGACCCGGCATCTGAGGCGTTCATTCATCGAATGAAATTGTCACATTCGGATAAGTTCACAGAATCGTCCCCGTTCAAATTCATTGCGGTTGTGCACCAGGGATATCTCCATATATATAATAGGCAAAGTTGTGATTATGTGTGTGTGTTCAAAATGTTTAGCGTACTTCCCGACATGCAACAAACTTGAAATTTGCCATGTGGGTACTTTCCAGACTGTACACCATGCAAAAATGATAAAAATACAGTTTTTTTTTTTTGGGGGGGGGGGAGCTCAATAATGCATATATTTTTTGCACGGCAAGTGACCTGTGACGTCAAATTTGCCACGTGACCCGCGCACGTGGAAGCGTGGCGCATTGTAGTGTAGTGGGTAGCGCGCTGCGCTACGAACCCGGCGACCAGAGTTCGATTCACCACCGGTGACGATTATTTGAACCGGTCCTGGGCCTCTCCTAGGTCGACTCAGCCTCAAACGAGTAACTGCTGTGGTGTGTGTACATCGCCACTGGGGAGACAAAGGCGGCCGGGCGTGGTGGATCCAAGTCCCGGGCGAAGCCGGGTAGTACAGCTCGTGCTAAATAATTGCACGTTTCTGCTCATGGGAAAACGAAATACATTTTGCACGTCGTACCGCGAATAACGAGACACGAACGAGACGAGGACCGATTCCTGGATCGCGAAATCGCTCGGGTGGAAGCTTCGTTAACGATTCATTTTTTAAAGGGAACCGAATCCGATTTTCTCTTTTTGTTGTAATACATAATCACGACAATGGACCGCATTGATCTCCACTGGACATCTATGGGGGCGGGGGGCGGGGAAGAGCTTCACAGCTCATCGGATTCCTCCAAGATAAAGTTCACATTCCAATTGACAGCAAATCGGAATCGCACCACCTCTGCACATCGAATCGACTCACGGAGGAAGTTTTCGTCCGTCCAAGTTTCGAAGTCCCCCCCCCCCACCCCGATGCTTCCCGTGCGATGCGCGGGTCATTCTCTACCCGCTGCTGGACGCGCCGCGCGGACGTCGTGGCCATCCTTGACGGCGCCTGCCGCTACGGGCTGGTGAACGCGGCGCTGCTGCTGCTGCTCTCCGCCGCCTTCTCGTACCTCGCGTCGTGCGCCACGGGCGGGTGAACTTTTGAACCCCCGAGGCCCAACTACGAACCCACCGGGGTCGTTGGGTTGGACCCCCCCCCGGGGTCGTTGGTTGGACCCCATCCCCCCCCCCGGGGTCGTTGGTTGGACCCCATCCCCCCCCCCGGGGTCGTTGGTTGGACCCCATTCCCCCCCCGGGGTCGTTGGTTGGACCCCCTCCCCCCCTCGGGGTCGTTGGTTGGACCCCATTCCCCCCCCCCCCCCCGGGGTCGTTGGTTGGTCACATTCCCCTTCCCCCCCTCGGGGTCGTTGGTTGGACCCCCCCCCCCCCGGGGTCGTTGGTTGCACCTCATTACCCCCCTCGGGGTCGTTAGTTGGACCCCCCCCCCCCCCCCCGGGGTCGTTGGTTGAACCCCCCCCCCCCCCCCCGGGGTCGTTGGTTGGACCCCCCCCCCTCCCCCCGGGGTCGTTGGTTGGACCCCCCCCCACCCCGACCTCCTTTTGCCACACGCTGCCGCCCGCCGCGGATTTCACGGTGAAACATGCGGCGCCTCTTGCTGGTGTCGAACTCGACGCTGCACGGCGGCGGATACCTGGACCACTGCGAGCAGCAGCTGCGAGACTTCTTGGGGAGGTGAGAAGAAGGGAAGGAGTTGGGACGAGGAGGATGGATGGGGATGGATGACGAGAAGCGCCGATTTCGTGCGTTGCCCGTCTCGCAATCTTGTTTTATTTGACACGCTTTTATTATTACACGCTTTTGTTTAACTCATTCTGTTGTTGTTTTCGTTGTTGTATCCTCAAATATTGTAACTCAATTTTAACCCACTTCCCAATGTGGTGTTGACTGCAAACTTGGTATACTTATGTCATACTGCTCACAATATAAAAAATACAATATCATTTTTTTAAAAACATTTTTTACATGTTATATTTTGGCTTGGGTCTAATTGTTCACTGTAAACTTGACGTTGGCTGTAATTGACCAGGGCCCCTTACGTTATGGCAAGCTTCGTGGCCACTTCCTGGAGTCGTGGAGTTCTTCCATTACGAGTACGATACATTTAACTAAAGCGTGTTTAAAAAAAAGTTTTTTTTAAATATTACTTATTATTCTTTGGCACGTTAATGGCAAAAGGGTGAGCGTCGAGTGGGCGAAATGGACTTGGCTTGAGCTAAATGTTGAATATAGACACCCCCCACCACCTCCACGAGTCTCCCAACTCATTCTTTTAACACCTCTCAAGACCCCAAAAAATGTCACTTCCTGGCCGGAATCACCAGGGGGACAATAACATTGGCATTGTCATAGCCATACGATTTGACCGTGTATTCTTGTACAGGGTAATTGAGTTTTCAGGTACATACGCCGTACAGCCGTTTCAATACGGGCTAAGACAATTGTCTTGGTGTTTCCGCCTTGTGGATGGGACTTTGTAGGATGAACGTTGAGATTTAGAAGGGCACGCGGTGACCAATAAGGTCTGAATAGTTCTATAATAAGTTAGGGCACTGATAAGGGGGTTGACAGGTATGGAACGGGATCTCCCGGTGATGATGATGATGATCTTGGAACAAAAGCACTCAAACGTATTCGTCAGTGATACCACTGTGCGGCCTTGAAGGAAACATACATGTGCGACGTTTCAGGCAACGGCCCTTTCTCACCATAGCACATAGCTAGAGAGGCCAGAGGGATATATTTGATATGCGTTGGAAACTGAACTTTACATCGTGGGGCCCAATTAGATTTTTTTTTATTGCACATTGTAAGGTGCTCGGGGAAGTAACACAAAAGAGTCAAAAAGGTCGTTGCGGAGAATGCAGGTCACATTGAATAGGCAGACAAGTTTATGCTCCCATCCATCTCACTCGTCCTGCACATGAACTGATCTCATCGTGAACATTCTCATGACAGTCTTAAATTTTGCCATGACATTGACGTGTTTCACCAAAAAGTTGACTTTCACAGATACGTGTTCTGTCTGGCCTGTGTTTTCTTTTCATGGGGAGCGGTTGTGCAGTGGTTAGCACACTGCACGAGGAATCCGGTGACCTGAATTTGATTCCCATTAACGACCAATCCGATTCTGGGTCTTCCCTCGGTCGACTCAACCTGGTGTGGTGTGTAAATAGCATCACTGGGGAGACAAAGGTGGCCGGGCGTGGTGCTGGCTACGCCACCCCCCTCTGTGTCGCGGAGACCTGAATTGGTCCTCGCTAACAGCACTTCCCGCCAACAGTTTGTTCAAGGCCCTGGCTTTTGTCTCTTTCTGAACGCAGCGCTGTAAGCAGGGTGCTCTTCATTCCGTACGCCCTGCAGGATCACGATGCCTACACCACCACGGCCAGGACAAAATTTCAAAGTTTGGGTCAGTATTTTACCCACTTGTGCTTTGAACTTCAATGTCCACGTAATGGCTAACGTGCAAGATGATGTGTGTCGAGGTGCAATTTCCACTGTTGTACATTGGTTGGCAGATTAGTTATTGAGATTTGTACTGTAACACCATTTGAAGTACCCAGGAAAAGGTTCTCACCGAGTTGCAGTACTTTTTCAGGAGGGATAATCTTGCTTAGAGCCTTTTGACCAGGTCCGTTATTGGCTTCGTGTGGCAGAAACCGGAGCAGCCGGAAAAAATACCCACCATGCATAACATAACAATGGTGCACTGGAACTCTGCACAAAATTCAAGAATGCCATTCTTTACCACCATCTCCTGGCGGTATCATTGAATTATTTGAATATCGAGTCGGGTAGAAAATGTGTACAGTACTCTTTTTTTTTATTACAGCAGCTTATGAAGGTGCAATGATAAGAGGGCAACGTTTACACATTGTTAAATGAACGTTTCAAACGTGACCAGTGTCAATTGCAGTTGTCATCAACCTCTTATCGTACCGTATGCTGCTGCATGAGGTAAATTTGTTTTTCAGGTTACGAAATCGACGGCATTCACAAAGCAGAGGATCCTGTGGAAGCAGTGAAAAATGCCCAAGGCATATTTATAGGTGAGGACGCCACGTTCAGATTGACTTTCTCTGTCAACATAATTGGGACTTGCACAGCCTTTTATTCCAGCGAGCCAAGTTTGGTCGATCTCATCAGTTGCATAGTATCACTCAGTGCACTCTCAAAGCACTGAGGAGAAAAAAAAATAACTCTCAACACGATTCATTTCTTGAAAGCTTGTTTTATCTACTGCAGGTGGAGGAAACACTTTCCGCCTTTTGAAAATGCTATACGACAAAAGACTCGTTGCCGAGATTAGGAAACGTGTCCTTGAGGTACCGTATCGACCCGATTCACTTTGCATCTGTGTTGTTGTGCAACAAACCAAATACATGTGCAATGCTTATTACATCGAGTACTTATTTTTTTGTCAGATTAAATAGAGTTATGTTAAATAATACTTTTATTTTTCCTTTTGATATTTTAGACCTTTAAAACCATAACATTTGAACATTTACTGCACTCTCTTATTCCAGTTGCAATGTTGTCCTCTGCAGGATGGCATTCCCTACATTGGCTCCAGCGCTGGTACAAACGTTGCAACAGTCGGCATCAACACAACCAATGACATGCCCATCGTGTACCCTCCTTCACTCAATGCTCTCGATTTGGTGCCCTTCAACATCAACCCACACTACCTGGACACTGACCTCAACAGCAAGCACATGGGGGTATGTACATGTACAGCCCTCTTATCAATCCAATGCGGGATGAGGCCTTCCCTTGCCGTGGTGGTTATCCTGACCATTATTTATTGAACACGAACCTTCAGCACTAAACTGAGCCCTTGTGGAACGTGCAAGTAAAAAAGTTGTATATGAGAGATCTTAAACATTTTATTTCTTCAATTCCAGCAAAATATACATTGTCATATTTTAATTGTTTACCATCAATGGATGTTTTTTTTGTTCTTTTCACCCAAAGGAAACTCGACAGCAGAGAATTGTGCAATATCATGAGGAGCCTGACACCCCACCTGTACTGGTTAGTCCTACATTCATACATCCACACCAGAGTAATAGGCGTGCACCATTACAAATTACGGTGATTAAACACATTTGTATAGCTGTTACATTGATGATTATTGAATTGGTGACAATCTCAGAATGATTAACATTTGTAATGTCTTATCACAGGCTTTGCGTGAAGGTTGCATGTTGCTCGTGGAGGGTGACAAAGCCACACTGCTCGGCTGTACTAAAGCACGACTTTTTTTAAGGTGATGTATTAGGACAGGGTCCTGTAGGGCATGAGTGGGAAATCCTACAGCCCACAGGCCAAATTTGGCTCATGGCTTAATTCCATATGGCCTATGGCAACATGCAGCTGATTACTTCAAAACAGCCAGAAAAAGCTATATATACCATCACTACAAGCATCTTGACCAAACTAATCTGGTATGACAGGGTGACTTTTCAATCTGGCAAAACTTGTTTTTATAATTTTAGTATGCTCAGTCACATATTACTTTAAGGGCATCTTGCATTGACAGAGGTGACTCAGGTGTTTGTTAATGTGTAGCCTGCCAAAGGTATTTGGAAGTTCTATTTGGCCCCAAGTAAGGAAAGCATTTCCCAGCAGTCACTTCTATCGAGCAGTATGCAAGGGAAACATGTGCCAAATGTATTACAATAGATATTGACTCATTATTGTATTAAATATAATTTTTTTTTCTTGTATCCAGATCGAAGGAACCCACAGAGCACGATGTTGGCACAGACTTCAGCTTCCTGCTGGCCCATAAATGAGCATTGCATCACTTCTCTGAAAACATCACTGCTTTCATAACTCCCCATCAATTATCCGACAGGAACAATCCAACCAGTGTCACACTATGCATAGCCAGTATCAAATCATCTATGCCGTAAGATACAATTAAAGTAGGCTGCAGTTTCCACTTGTGTAGTTTCTCGGTTGTTTATGCTAATGGTGTTTACATTTATTTTGAAATGAAATTCATCAACCAATCTTGAATTGCTATATTTTTGGAGTTTAAGGAATGTTCATTGCTAAACACTATAATTATCATTTTTTCAATACGTTATTTTGAAACTAATACGTTTATTGCTGTACAGCAGTTTGCACCAAAATGAGATTGTTGTATTCAAAGGCTGTTTACGGATGTTATACGTGGTGTAATACTTAAAACATACATTGAAACAACGTACAATTATAGTTTTTAAATCCTTGACATTATTTACATATGACATACACCTTTTAGACTTAAATTCATGTTTAATAACTCTCAAATCAATGTTTATTACTGTTAATACTGATTTTGGACACAAGCACAGTAAAACGTTCATATTCCAGAGAAAGCAAAAATGAGTGAACATTCTGTTTAGTTTCAGCAGATTTGTAACTGTTTACAGTTGAGTTGCAAGTCCAAATTATCTAAATAATGCATGTGGCAACAAGCACTTTCTTAAAAAAATTAATTCACATAAATTACAGTGCATTCCGAATTGATTAAAGTGTATTCTCTATAACTTGGTGAATGGAAATGTGGTATCATGCGATTCTTTAATTCTTGTGAAATAAAATGTACAATTAAAAAAAGTACTTGTTTTTCATGGGTTGTATGTTACAGTATACAACGTTGTTGATGTGGAACCCCAAATGTTCCTTCAGTAACTGGTTAATGATCTGTGTATTTTTAGTTGAATATTAACTAGTATGTAGTTCAATAAAACTATAGCAACGCCGAATGAATGTAGAGTCATACATGTAAATGAAGACCATAATACACGAAAGAAGACATAAATAACGAAACGGTTAATTTATAGTAGCCACGTGCAGGATGGGTTATTGCATTGCAGGATCTTTAGAGAGTGGCATTTTGGGGAGGCATTTATCGAGCAGTGGATTGACCAATACTGATGAAGAATTTCATAAATGGCCATTTCCACGAAGTAAATCACAAGAACAAGGTAGGTGTTAGATACAGCAGATACAACTCTCAAACATGTAAATGTAATTATCAGGTTCCCGTGACCCTTGCTGTAATTCCGTTGCTGTATAGTCCATATGCCAATATTTGGTGAGCAGTACGTTCATGTAACATTCATATATAACAGTAGTATACTCTATCTATAGTTGGCGCCTTTGACGAGTATGCTGTGAATGAGCCTGGGACCGTGTCGTTTTGACCCAGCATCTGGAACCTCTTCAGCTGTTTCCAGTCGCATTTCTCTTCTGCCCCCCGCCTGAGCGGATAGGAGGTCGCCAACAGTGGACCGAGCCATCCACACTCTCTTTCCACTGTCGAGTGGCGAGCCAAGCTCCATTATTCCAGCACTCTCTGCATCCCACTCGCTGCACGCATAATATTTCTTAATTATATTTCTGCTTGGTTTTAAGAAACATTTTAAAATAGTGTTTTGAATCTATTTTTAATACACATTTTTTTTTGTAAATTGGTACACATGAGATATTAGGAGTTAAAATAAAATGCTACTAAACTATAAAAAATTGCAATTTTATCAGGTAAGGCCCACTTGGCTATACAGCTCTTTTTCAGAAGCGATCTGGCCACAAATGATAGCTCAACGAAGTGGCTTATGATGTGGAAATTTATAGCAGCCAAATACTATAAACGCATGTTTCTAAATGTGGAAAAAACGAAGACCCCGGAGAAAAATTCACACGGCCACGGGGAGGACATGCAAACTCCAATTATCCAGTTGTCAGGGTCGGGAGAGAACCTGCGATCTGTATACCAGGCTAAGTATGCCACCATGGTGCCCAGATACATTAAATTCAGTATTACTGCACCTATTTTGTTTCATCAAATCAGTAGTTTCGACTTCAGCAATTGAAACTTGCATAAGTCGATGCATGTATGTCTGCTGTGCTTTTTTCATTTTGTACTACTAAGAATCACTTGATAATAAAACATCTAAAAAAGATCTGGCCTATAGCAAAACCAATTAACAACTGCTGACTTTGGCACAGCCATATTCACAAGCAAACTGGAGGCTCCCTTAATGAGCTGGGTGCCAAGGTTGCCAGTAATTTGACCCTCATGCACTGAATATAAAATAGTTATGTTAACATGGGATTTTCAATCAAGTCTTAATATTAAAAACAATTTATTTCGTAGAATTCTGGCTGTCAGGCATATAAACATTTTCAAGCCCACAAAACACACATTGAATCGCGTGTGTAAAGATTTAAAAAAAATAAGTTGTAAGTGGTTCACGCACCCCTGCTGCCAGTAGTCATGCTACCATCATTTATCGTGACCTTGAATAAGCATGAAGTGTCGGAAATGCAAATAAGAGCACTTACGAATACAGATCTTTGTGGCGGGCATCCTCTTTCTTGCTGGCCCTCAGCCTCCAGTCACTTTTACCTCCCTTGGCAGCTGCCCACGCAAGCTCACGCTTGTAGAGCTTCCATTGATTCTGCTCTAAGAATATCTGGCAAAGAGCATCATCCCTAGATACACAGCACACATGCAGACAGGCCCTCTGTTACTGCCAATCCTATTTGTTGGTGATATTGTTTTAGCAACACACTTTAATTTGTATTTCCTCAAACCCTTAACACACTGCAAGGTTGCCACCTTTAATGTACAAAAAAATCAGGACATAGCATGCATCGTCTTGAGTGTTATATAACTGTGCAACGAACACAAACTGACACTTTTACAACTACCTTAAAGAAGAATATAATCTTGGGAAAACCAGGACAGGTGGCCACCCTATGCACAATGTGGCGTCTTACTTCGGGTATGGTTCGCTTTGCTTTTTCAACTCCTTCAAGGTGGCGTCGTTCATGAGCTCGCCGAACTTGTCCAGCCTGACACGCAGGACTTTTGCCCCTTGGCTGGTGATCACCATAGGCCGGCCGTCTCTGTGGAACTCCGGAACGAGGAACTGCTTCAAGCCCTGCCGACAAACACGACGCTCTCCATACATACGGCATTTACAAACCTCGACCTTATTCCTGCCCAAGTGTCATTTTGGCAATTGATGTCCTTGAATAATGCACCGTAGGTCTTTATTATTACATTGCCTTGTCCAGTGTGGCGTGCATTGTTGAGCTCTGAAATTAATTTCTTTTTTTTATTCCTGAGTTGATTATCCACGCGAGTGTTTTGTGTATGGAGGAAGAGGTTTAGATGAGGTTTAGGCCTGCATAGTAAAGATTGTGCCTGAGCCATGTTTTGTTATTGTAAATACAATCTGCCTGGGAGTTAATTATGGCCTTGGAAGGTATTTGGGAAGTGTAATGAGACATACCTAGTAGACATGTTCTTAAAATACTAGAGCATAACTCTTCAGGCATTGCCTGTGGAAAAACAATTGATTGAAGTGATTTCTTAGGTACTCAGTGCAGGATTCTTTCTTCACTTTGCAGTACAAACTAATTGTATATATATTTTTTTGTGTAAAATCAAAAGTTAAACAGAATGTTAACGCGTGGTGGAAATAAACATCTGCCATCCCTACCGTCTCTTTCACGAGCTTTCCGTCGTTCTCCAGGATGTCTTCAAGTACATTCATGTTGACACCTTTCTGTAAAGTTTTACAGGATTAATGTACAGTAATGATATGAAACAGACCTAATCTGTGTGGGAAAAGGTGTATTTGTTTTCCCCCAAAACATATGTTAGGTGCAAATATCAACGTGCTAACAAAATGGTGGGAAAAACATTGCGTTCGCCCAAGAAAAACACTTGCATTACACGTGCACCAAGTAGCGAATGCGACAAATTAACTCATCGGTTTCCGTGCTTACAAAGTACTGCCCAGGCCGAATTGCATCCACTCTGATGTAAACAGCTGCTTTGTAGTCATCCAATAATGTAGCGGGCGGCTGGGGGCTGCTGGGGCCATACCCAACACTCTTTAGAGACAGCCTTCTGGGTCTGCAAAAAATAAACAGGAGGCCATTACGTTTTTGAGCATCTGCACCTGACAGGTTTAATGCTGGGTTCGTATTAATGGTGTTTGCGTTCACTGTTTTACTTGTCTGTTCAATGACCTGTAACCTTTCAGTGATAACACTGTACTTTAAATTCTCATCACTGCCACTACTTTGTCTTGTCCTGGTGGAGTTTGTGAATGGTCCCTTTATTCTGCAGTAATGTTTGCTTGGGGAGAGGAGGGTGAGGGAAGTTTAAATCTATTTCTTTTTAAGCTGTTACTCCTTTTGATACATTACAATTAAATATCGCCAGCGGCATTTACGTGGCGTTTACCTGTCACTGGATATTATCACTCAAAACAACGTGGCATTACACTGAAGAGGTTGGTAAAGCTAGACACAGGAATATCTTAGTTAAAGACTGACTCATCTTCATCTCCAGAACCAGGCTCCATATACTCCTTTCGGTATCCATCCCTCAGCATTGACCTGGGATCCATATAGATATCTGTGGACGTATAGATAAACATGGGAAATAAGTTTTACAGTTAACAAGTTAAGTGAGCAAGACTTTTTTTGACTAATTTTATTTTATCTGACTTTAAAAAGATGCATCATGTAAGTAAACATTAAAATACCTACCAGCGATGTTCTTCTCCTGTATTTTGACCTGCTGCTGTAGCCAGTCGTGGTAGCTGGGACATGCACTCAGGTCAACTAAACGCAAGACATCGCAGCAGCCCTGAAGGAACAGATGAGAAGGGTTGCAGAGGTGCTTAGGCACAGTAGCATAATTCAAATTTGACTGGGTATGTACACTGCTATAAGTTGATAAAATTACATGAATAATAATGTACAGTCCTTTGTCAATCCACCGCTTGATGAAGGCTTATCCATGCCGTGTTAGTAATGGGGATTGTTTAGACAACATTGCTCGGTCAGTGTGGGTTGATAAAGGGGGGACCCAAAGTCCGTTTAGGATTTCATTTGCCATTGTCAGCTGTAGCCAGGAAACGAACTCAACTCATCAGGTTCATAGCGCAGTGTTAATAAATAATATTAACATTGCCCACATGTTAGGGTTTTTAATAATCACTTTTACATAAATACCTTGTACATTTATGTGATAAAGTATATGGCTGTACACAAATGTGATATTGTACGAGATTATATTACAAATTAAGTCACTTATGCTCAAAAAATTACTCATAATTGTTTCACTGCCAATAAAGATTTGCCCAACCATAAACAACGCTACCTTGATTACAAAGATGATGCTCTTTGTTTCGCTGGTGTCGCCAGTCACCACCTGTCCATGGTTGAACTCCTCGATCTTGCAGTGGTCGGCCATCGTTTCCAGTGATTCGTCCGACCACGTGGAGAAGAGCTCCAACGATCTGCACATGACGAGACCGAAATGCAGCCTACTTACTTACGCTGAATTTGAAACACAATCCATATAATTGACCAGATATCATAAATACACTAGTGCAATGGCCACCACCCACACCCCGTCATCCAGATCACTGGTTCTCGTGCCACCCCCCCGCCCCCCCCCCCAACCATTACAGCGTTAAAAAACGATTTGTTTCATGTTGTGTATTAGTAAGTTTTGTCACAACAAATGATGGCACGGTATCCGTACAGCAGCCCACCCATCAGTGATGTGTAGCAAGGGATGCATTTTA